GCCCGTCTGATGACCTCATCTAAGGTTGATTCAAGAAGCAGTAAAAAACGCTGTTTGGTCGTGATTTCCGTTAATGATCCCACCGACTGCAGTTCTAATGCAGTCAAGGACACATTCCATCACGAAATGAACGCGCTACTACGCACTGCTGCTAGTTCAGACATTATAGTACTTGCAGGGGATATGAACGCACAAGTAGGGCGCCTGAGCTCTTCAGAAGCTCAGCTGGGTGGTAATTATGGGCTTAACTCCGAACGGACTGACAACGGCAAGCGTCTGCTGCAACTGTGTGCGGAGCACCATTTGTTTCTTAGTAGCACTGCTTTTATACACAGTGGGCGCCGAAGTGCCACTTGGCGTCCTCCTGTAGCTGGCCAGCGATGGACCCAAATTGATCACATGGCCGGAAGTTACAGGTGGCCGCTGGTACTGGTGGTACGTGCGCCGACTCTGCTCATGCCTTGATACGCTGTTGCTTCTCCATGAACTTTATTGGGAGGCGCACCAATTGTCCCCTACGATTGGAAGCGGCGAAATTGTCTCAGTCCTCGGTCAGGCAAGCCTATCAAGAAGCACTGTATACCGAATTTTTGCTCTCTTGTCCTAATGGCACTGAGCTTCAGTGGAATCGGATCTCGGTCGCCATGCACGACGCAGGAGCATCTGCTTGTGACACCATCAAGCGTCACCGCACCAATCACTGGATATCCGAGAGGTCGGTGAACCTGTTGGAATCTAGAAGACACCTCCTGGCTGGCTCCGAACACAATGTGACCAGACGGGCTATTAGGCGTGAACTAAAGCGGAGCCTACGTGCTGACAAGGAATCCTGGTGGACCAGTAGGGCTCAAGAAATGAAGGAGGCCAGAGCAGTAGGCAATTACCGGAAGCTCTTCCAGCTAATCCGCACCACTGGTCTCAAAAAACCAGGCGTCAGTGAGACAATCAGAGACAGCGCGGGTGCGCTGATACACAGTAAGGAGCGCCGTATGGCTCGTTGGGCTGAACACTTTGAACATCAGTTCAGCTGGCCCCCTGCTCCCGGACCTCTTCCTACTCAGGTGATGTCTGACGAGCCATGGATGGTTAGTTTAGAGCCTCCGTCGGAGGCCAAGGTCCGAAACGCGATCACAGCCCTTAATCGTTTTCGTGCGGCTGGCCCGGATTCCCTCCCACCTGAACTATTTAAGGATGGAGGTGAGGTCCTCTGCAAAGCAATAACCTCCCTGTTCGAACGTATCTGGAACGAAGAGAGTGTGCCAGCTACTTGAAGCGAATCGATTATAGTGGCAATATACAAGAAGGGCAGTCGCACAGACTGTGCGAACCACAGGGGTATTAGCCTAACGCCAGTTGTGACAGAATTACTGACCTCGATTATCGTTCGTCGCCTCACTGCGGAACGGGAATCTCGGATTAGAGAAGAGCAGGCCGGTTTCCGCCCAGGACGCGGCTGTATAAACCATATATCCACTTTGCGGCAGGTGCTAGAGCAGCGCCACGCATACCGCAGACCGACAATAGCTGCGTTCGATTCAGTCGATCGATAGATATTGTTCGCAATGCTTGCGCGGAAAGGTATTCCCACGAAATATGTCAGCATCCTTCGTGCTCTATACTCGAACACTACAGGTCGAGTCAGGGTCTACGATGGACTATCGGATAGCTTTCCGACCACAAGTGGCGTTCGTCAGGGTTGTACGATTTCCCAGTTTTTGTTCAATTTCATCGTGGATTCTATCATGGAGTGTTCCCTTGCGGAATCTCATGATGTAGGCGTTAAGGTGCTGCCTGGTGAAATGTTAGTTGATCTTGATTATGCGAATGATATCGTCTTGCTTTTCGACGATGTTGGGGCGGCACAGTCAACCCTGAATAGCCTGTCCAGAATGGTCCCATTATTTGGTATGGACTTCGCACCTTCAAAGTGCAAATTGATGCTGCAGGACCACCAGCCACTTCACCCCTTGGCGCTTGCTAATGAGGAACTCGAGGTGGTTGATTAATTCACTTATTTTGGCAGCTGCATTAGCAACGATGGACGTATAGAAACTGACGTGAGCTCACGCATTGCAAAAGCCAGAGCTACCTTCTTGAACCTGCGTCATCTTTGGCGACAGAAGGGAGTTTCCCCCTTCTGAAAGGCCGGGTATACATGGCCACAGTGAGGGCCATTCTGCATTATGGTAGTGAGACTTGGCCCCTTCGGTCTGAAGATCTGAGACGCTTTCAAATCTTTGATCATCGTTGTCTGCGAAGCATTGCTGGTGTCGGATGGCACCAGCGTGTCCGCAACGATGATGTGCTTAGGTGAGTACTAGGAAGTGCTAATTATGCTAGCTGCTTCGAACAACAGATAGTAGTGAATAAGTTGCGTTGGCTCGGGCACGTGCTACGTATGCATGGTCACCACTTGCCTAGGAGGGCCTTGTTTAGTCTGCCAGGTGTAGGTTGGCACAAGGCTCGAGGTGGACCTAAATTGACTTGTCAGCGGGAAATGAAGTCACTGACGACCAAACTGGGTGCCGTTGGTCCGTTTCGCCTTCCGGGCTGGAGTCCACATGACTCACCATTTACTTGGCTCGAGACTTTACAGGACATGGCTCGCAGTGGACACCAATGGCGCGTCTGTTTCCGTCTCCTATTTGGATTGCCTGTTTAAAGTGCGTTTGGTGCTGAGTTGTCTGCGGGGTAATGGCTGCTTATGACTCGTGGCAGTGAAAGCCGCAAGGAAGCTGTCTCGCCGATGTCGCCTTATCTTTGCACGATAGCCAGCTGTTTGTGATGGTATGTTGTTTACGCAAGGTGTAGGCGCCTTGATCCTGACTGTTTGCTTAGGGTATCAAGTTTTTTAGGTAAGTCCCCCTTCTCTCCCTCTTATTCTATATTTCATAGGTCCTCATGGTTGTATGGCAGCGAAGCATCAGTTCACATGGCTGATGTACTGCTGTTGATGATGATGATGACTAGTTCAGAGAAGCACCGGGCGCGTTTCGCCCTTTCGGGATTCGTCATTGGTGCGGATTCCCTCGGTCCTCTACGGAGGATTTAACAAACGACCGCTATAGGCCGATGTGAACTAGCCAGCATCCTAAACCACTGAGCCATGGGGGACGTTGGCTACGCACCAGTGACGAGCCTCAATAGGGCGAAACGCGTGTAGTGCTTTTCCGGAGTAGTTTGTCCAATGTAGCTTGTGAACTACTGGAATGAAACCTCAACAAAATTACGACTAAAATCTTGCTACTTACGAGTAATATAAAAGAAATAGTCTTTGCTGGTTTCAAAATCCTACGGATATAGCGTCTATTGAGAGGACGTCATCTCCTTTCAGGCTAACCACTGTCATTGACAGTGGAAGATAGTTGGTGCTATATCCCAGTTAGTTTGCACATTATGTAGCCTAGCCAACGTCCCCCATGACTCAGTGACTTAAGCTGCTGGCTAGTTGGCATCTGCCTCTAGCGGTCATTGGTTCGATCCTCCTTAGATGACCGATGGAATGCGCACCACTGACGCGCCCCATTAAGGCGAAACGCGTCTGGTGCTTTTCCGGACTAGGCTGTGCCATGTTGCTTATAAACTACTGTAATGGAACGCAACTGCAAAATCACTAGTAATAAGCGATGGCCTATTACATCGCATCTCCTCATTGCCCCTACAATCTCGCCGACGGTTGTCACTAGGCAGAGGTAAGACTATCATTAATTATCATCTCGCATGAATATCTGGGAAAGCGGATGCTTTGATCCTTACTTGAGATCGACATTGGTATGTGAGTCGGTTGATGACCATATTACCGCTTGAGTAGCCTCTGAAGCTTGGTGACCTTTACGTGGAAAGTGGCGCCATGCTTCTGTTGCCATACACATTTTACTTTCTCGGTTGCGGACACTCGCTTTTCTAGCACGAATATTTTTAGATCGTTTTTGGCAACTTTCCAATCTGATGATATCCCTGTTCCAGTCAAGTCATAATTATTTTGCCTGTCAACCGTTCATTTCCATTCATGCCTTGGTGCACATACGAATACCACCACTTCTCCCTGTGATAGCGATCTGCCCTTGTCCACAGCGCCATTTGAAGTTATGTTACAACTTGCTACCGTGGGTAAGCTTCGTGCTCGATGGTAACACTTGAGGCGTTTCTTTAAGGAAGCCTCCGGGGTAACCAATCCAATCCCATGGTGGTGTCGGGACGATTGCTCAGTTTCTGCAAACATGCTTGATTTGCAATAGAAACAGTTTACTCCACTCAACATACATTTTAAAACGGAATCTCGTCCGCACCCACGTATTGGACCTTTGCATTTTCATGGCATTCTTATCAAAACAGCCTCATATCTTACATGTCTCGAAACCTAACAACACATCGGAATTTCTTTGATTTGCCAAAGATAATGTGCACAAAGACAACTACTAAAACACTACCACTGGATTCAAGCCGAATGGCGGATTCATTTAATCTGCAGGTGACACGTGACTTACCGGATATTTCTGAGACGTGTGGGAACTTCACACCGAATTTATTACTCCAACTCGTTTGTTTGTGCAGATAACCCTGTTCCAGCAAATATTTCCTTCTTTCGGACCTCTCTTGTTACGGCTAATTCTTTATGTCGTTGACGGGAAAAGGTCACCTGGTGTGGGTAACACTGGAATGTCGTCACCATGGATTTGGCACATCTATGTAATCAACTAGTATCTCCCTTTTCCGCTCCATGGCAGTCTATGTTGCGTATCACTGTTGAAGGGTATGAATTGTCTCATTTTGTTTTCCACACAGCGCATGAAACGCTTCACCTAACACATTCAAGCGTCTCCATGACATCAAGTTAGCTTGCTTTTAAGACTATATCTTTCTCAACTTATCGGCCTTCTAATTGTAATGTATCCGATCGACTGGGTTCACTCAACTTCTCTTGCCATTTATGATTGGTCTTTGTGACTTTGTTTCTTCTGTTTGACGTTTGTTTTATCATTTTCCATTATTTTTCCCAGGACCCTGTACCACGAAGAATGTACCAAAAAGTTGCTTGCAGCTGGATTGAATTGGTCCGTTCATCGTCCTCCTACGACTACTCTGTGGGAATCCATCAGACAGCGAAGACAACGTTTAGTCGCAGTGGCTGAGCAAGCTTCCGATAGACCTGTTCAGAACTCACCGGTGATTCAAGCACATCCATCTGAGTATACGTTGCCATCCTTGTCAGTTGTAGATCAAGGCGTTGATGCTTTGCTACTGGATGCTTGTGCACAGCAGCAGAACTCCTCTTCTGATAGTTCCTTTCACCATCGACGTCTTAGCATGCACGTTGTTCCTTGTCACCGCCATTTGGCCTCGGAGACAGACCAGACATCTGGTGAATTTGTTCCCAAACTAACCGGGGAGCAGACTTCTCTTGAACGTTCTTGGACATCTCTATACGTTACTCCCAGTTTTGTTTCTGATGAGACTTTACTTTCAAAGGGAAGGTCGACGGTGAGTGTTGTTTGTTGAGTTTTCCAGTCTACTGTCACTGTGCCCATCCACTCCCCATGGCTGTTGTTGCTGTTTTTTTACTTCCAATGGAAATTGCCTCCATCTTCGACGTGCTTGCTTTGTCGTACAAGGCAATTATGTTTTGGCTAAAAGTTCGACTACACCTTCGGGTTAGCCGTTACTTTGGGGCTAGACGTTCGTCATGCAAACTTGCACTTCCTTTGCGCCCCCATGCGATATTTTCTAACGACTTCTATCCAACGAGGTTTTCACCCCCTTGTGTTTGCACCTCCCTTCAACCGAAACGTAATTGAGCTAAGGCCTCATTCTCCTAGCATTTGTGAAGGCTTTCAGCATTCACTTTCTTTCGGAATACTTGTGTACGGTCGATCCAGTTACCTGAACCTTCTTCGTCACAATTGCAGGAGAATATTTGCGTCCAGGAAAATCTGGTGAGAAGAGGGTGGTTTCAGTTAATTTCGAGATATAAGTTGTTTACTTAGTACCAAGTGTCAGAACACTTTTGACTCTCGAGATAAATTACTTATTGCCTTGCTACCAGATAGGTCAATCGTCATGCTGCAGACAAACTCTGGTACATTATCTTCCTGGCTGAAGTGTGGAAAAAAGTCGATTTTCCTCCCATTTATGACGTGGCCATGTGAGGAAGAAGATATCGGCAGTACTCAGCCATACTGTGCCGACGCTTGGCTTCCACGTGACCACGTATAATGCGATGTCACATGCACTTACGCAGATCCGAACCCCGGTGACCTGCGGATTACAGGGTTGGTGCCTTGTTCTTTCTACCATAGGCAGACCTGCTGTCGGGTGTGAAATCCTCACAAAACAGGTCTATGATCATTGCAGATCGAGTACTGGTGGTCTATCCATGCACACGGATGCACTAACAGCGTCTTGCTCGCTCATCGATACCGGTTGGCATCAATTATGTACGCAAACCCAACCTGGCCAGGTTGGGCCTAGGTAAACCACGGTTCGATTAGTCGCTGTCGTCAATGCTACGAATCGGCTTGTTGCCTTTGCCTCACTTCAGCTCACGCCTTTGTGTACAGTATCTCCACTCTGTTATTATTCTTTGTTTCATGCGTCATTGTGGTTGCGCTACAGCGAAGCATCAGTCCAAATGGTAGATGTGCTGCTGTTGATGCTAATGGCCATCACCAGTCACATGTGGGCGGAGTATATTGGAGGTCGCTCGCACCTACGCAGATTTGAACCCGTAACTTTTGAATTGCAAAACAGGCGCCTTATCCTTCCGGCCAGCCGTCCATGATTGGCAACGGTTTCCAACATTTTGTCTCGACTCGGTTAGTGTGCTGCATAAGCTCCACGGAATTTCATCTGACTCTGATTACGAATATCGATCGCTCCGTAGTTTGATTCCGCCAGCTTCATGCCACGCACTTCTAACCGATGAATTGCAGAACTGCTGAATTCACCTCTAGCTTACAATGCTCCTAGCCGTACCGCTTGATAGCGTAAAAAGTCCTGCCCTATTTGTTTTAAAACTCTTGAGATCACGTTCAACTGGTTTCCCCGGGGAACCCTGTAGTAAGTCGTAATTACACATTCCATCTGAATACTGCTTTTCGCACAGCTTTGTGGATCGGACTACTGGGCCAAATGCCTGTAGTAGGTAACCTCGACAAAATAGTTCCTCCCTGAATAGGTAGCTGGCCACTCCCCCGCTCTTACACCATTGGTGCGGATGGGCTGTTCTCTGATTCGCTTCCACTTCAACACCGTATCTAGTAATGGAGCGCTCCTGATTTCATCTCTGGTGGCAAAGGTGCCATTTCACATTCCGTCTTTCAGCGTTCACACACTGTGTCCGATCGGTCAACAGGCGACGCTTGCATCAACTTCGCATTCCCTCGGAGTCGACATGTGCCATAGCTCTACAACATGTGAATGAAATAGCAATAGGCCCGAGTCCCGGTCATTGAACTCACACACTTCGTGTCTTCCGGCGTGCTAATCCGATGAGTTGCGATATTCACACTTCATGGGTCGCAGTCGACGCACATGCGAAGACCGTCCATCTGTAATCTATTCCACTACACCACCACTACTTCGCCCCCCTACATCTGGATTAGTAATCAGCTGTCGAATTTATGATGTTTTTTCGCCTTGGTACGCGCTCTCCTCGTTAGTGGACCAGGAGCACTCATAAGTGAATGCCCATTTCGAATGCTCAGTAGTGCGGATATCGGGATCTTTGGTGGGACATGCCTACCCAAGCCGGTCATGTATCTGATTCTACTCACTCCCTCTGAGTTTTTTCATATTTCAAGCATGTCCTACTGGCAACAACAGTCTCTTCAAGTATATACCTCTGTACACAACACAGATTTCCAACGCGTACTTCTTTAGCGACACTTGTGCCTCTGCGACGATTTGTCTAACCCTTTTACCCATGTATTTTAATTGCTTGGTGCACTCCGTCTATTTGTGGAACCATCTTTACCGGGTTATGCTGGGCTCCTCTTCTTCAAACTTAGGTTTGGGCGTGAGATCACACTCATTTCCTGATCATGTCCAATTTTATGCCCAGTTGCCTCCTTTCTTCCACCTTGCAGTCAGGCTTGGGAATCAAACAATGGTTGATAGTCCTCATCCTAAAGTAGTAGCTATATCCAGTACTTCATTTTCCATCTAACCGGAATTGTTCTGCTACCGAGACGCCCAGAAATGTCAGTAGTTGCCTCGGGATATTACTGTGTTGTGTCTATTGTTCCAAGTGTCGGCGCGACTGAACTCTGGAGGCCTGAATTCTAGTGCGCTTTGAACTTACCCAGTGTGGGTGTTGTTTTCACCTCTGTGGATGCCTGTCCTCAACCGTCAGATTCCATTAAGAATATCTCACCAATGACCTGTTGTAAGGTGCTCAGGCGTATTACACCTAGAGGAACAACGTGTTATGATGACGGATGTGATCCAAGAACGAGCGCTACGCTAACCCTTCGGATAGTGTGTGTATTGTGAAATTAGCCTTACTATTCTCTGGAACTAAGTGATGACCGTGGTGATGAATGATGGTTCCTCCATCTTCCTCTTCTAGCCGACTGTGGGGTCTGCCAAATTGCAAACTCCAATCTTGGAATTCACTTGATCTGCGTACGCTGCTTTACAATCTACCTCGCAGTGCAGCACATTTCACGTGTGATTCTTGCTTTCACAGTGCAAAGCCCTGTTGCAGGACACCAGTTTTCACTACCAAGTGCTGACTCGATTCTCTTATCTCAGTATTTTATCGCCTGCGTTGCTCGCATCACCAAAACGTTTGTGGTACTCATTGACAACGCTCATGTGACTCTTCGGGGCCTGTACCATCTGTTGAAATTAGTTGCTACTATCTTATCGGTTGAGAGTATTCATTACATCCTTGAGATGGTTCTAGGGATCAAGTACATAGTCCCTGTGTGACGCACTGCTAGTGAGTTTATTATGTGGAAACGAGGAGTCGTAATGAAATCATGGATCCCCCCAAACGAAAGACCCATGGTACAGAAATCAGCCGGAGGAAGGTTGCGTAGTGGAGAAATCTACCTCTACCGATACATTGTGAGTGATGAGGTGCAGCAGAATGGCGAATTGGAAAGGTACCATAAGGGAAGTGCGGAAATCGGGTCTGAACTGTTATGATACCCAGACTTTGTTTCTCCCGTACAAAACTCGTCTGCGCCGTGTCGCGTTCTCAACAACTGTACTTTCCAGAGAATAGCGGCATTTAAACATCGACGCCTGTGAAGCACTGCTCATAGTTGATGAAAGCATCCAAAAAGCTTTTCTGATGGTCGTAAATTTGTATTGTCGCCCATCTTTCTGGTGCCGCACGGATGCGGGTGTAAACCTGAAACAGCCAACATTAATCCGGTCATGTCGTTCGCAGACCTACCGATTTTTCCCTGTCTATGTTGTTTGTAAATGCTGCACTATTGTTGGCATGGCACGGAGACGGTGTATGTCACTCTGCTTTGTACAGGCCTCGGGATCTACCACGTAACCGCTTAGACATAGGACATTGCTGACTTCTCTGTCGTTTCACCTCTGGGTAGCCTGCCCTTTCATGTTTACCTCATCTGTTTGTTTCCATATATGCAACAGGGGACCGTCAGCGTCCAATTACTTTCAATCCTTTCATTTGTCAACTGACGCTAATTTATGCGCAGTTCATATATCAAGATTGAAAGTCCCGTCGCCATGGAGAAATAGTGTTTCACATTTGTGCCACGTAACACTTGAATCAAAATTGTGCGATGTGGAATGAAAAATCATTTTGCTCACCTCTTTGGTAATGTGACGAGACCCGGAATAATGAGGCGTATCTACGCATGCCTGTTGGTTGATCGTAGAACCGTGCGATTCCAATTGGAGACGGACGCCACCGTTAATATACTACCCACGGAGTACCGCTCCGAGAGTCAAGTCCGGCTCGATCAAGGCTGCTGCACAAGTAGACTGGCTCCATGCTCTGTCCGGAAAGCTCGGCTACAATGGAAGTGATTATTCCCAAATACAGATCGTCACCTTGGCTGCATTTCATGGACGTGGAAAAAAACATCATATCGATTCTCGACATTGATTCGATCCAGTCTCCCTACTTTCTTCTTTTTAACCACGATCATTTTGTGCGTGCTTTTCTAGCGGATAATGCTGTTGACAACCTCCACTTGTCAAGCCTTGGAACATTTAAACGGTATCGCTGGTTTTACTAAATCCCTCGGCGCAACCGTTTGCGCTACTGGCTAAAACGATTTCGTTCAACTCACATGATAGGTTCTATATTGAATCAAACGAGTTGGTGTTGTTGTGCGCAATTACCAAAGTTGACAAGTCGACAGCTTGGATTAGTCAAGTTGGATTAGTCAAGATTACGAGTAAGACTGGTGAATTGCAGTATGCACCTATCCGCAACGGTTGAATAGTGCCCTGCGTTAAGAGTACTGCCTACCTTAGAGGACCTTCTGTTCCGTTCGGCCAAATCCAAATATTTCCCGAATGCAGGCCGGTCCCATTCTGACATGTGGTTCTAGATAAAAAGTCCATTTTTCTCACGAGCTTCGTTGTACCGTTCGGGCGTTATTGTTGATTGAGTTTTCTGTTTAGTTTGAAGTCTATAAGCCAGATCTGGAACATACAATTTATGCAAGATGTCGTTGATCTAAATGGCATAACGTGTATGATAGGCCACGTGCTGTCTCGAGCTATACTTGGAACCGATTAAGTGTTACTAGGTCGGCAAATTTTGTTTTTATATCGCTCGTGTAAAAGTCTTATTCTAGCGACGTTTTGCCCTTGATGCAAGTTCTGACCTGAAGAATTTCTTGCGTTAAGAGCTGGGCGTCGCTACAACAAAATTTTTGCAGCAACGATCTACACTCAAAATCCTCTCTGCTGCTCTCAAACCGCTGGTTTTTTTTATTCTTTTGGCTTACGTCCTCCTCTCCTATCAAGTCTTAATGTGCATTCAAGTTAACCTTCTTCGTTTTAGGGCTGTTTCAGTTTGCAGAAGATGCCCAGGAGCAACGAGTACTACTTTCTTTCCGACGCGTCCGCTTCTCAGTCGTCCTTTTGCCGGAAATCCCTTTGTGGTTAGATGGGGCGATCAAACACATGCAGAATATTCCTCCTTTAATCGTAAGTATCCTTCACCTTGCTTCATCGTTGTTTAGGAACGCGAAAGTTCGTTATACTGTGTGTGTATGTCCTTGCCTAATTTTTAATGGTTTGTAGGCTCCATCGGTCTACACTATCCAGTTCGTGGGATTCACTTGCACTTAGTTTTACAGAAGTCTTGTGTGTGCCAAACAAATCATATACCGAAGAGTCGGAGTCCAGTGTCGCCCGTATGTTTACTAGGGGTTTTTCATTAGAAAAATATGTGTAATGCGTTCTCCCCGTTAACCTCTGCGTTGAATGACTACCGACTAACGTTTGCTCGATTTTTGGGTGATTCTTGCTCGACTAACTTCATTGTTTCATTCATATCTGTCACACTTCAACACCAGTAGTCTGTCCGTTTATGCCAGTTACCCATGGTGATAACACAACTCTTGTCCTGTGTCCACTGTAGGTCGCGACATTCCTTTTTACTTAGTGCACGGTGGACGGTGCCCATTTGGGTGATATCCCTGAACGGCCAGCCCATGACGCTTCCGAAGAGCTTAACTGAACTCACAATAGGTGGAAGCAGGGCTGATGTACATCGTCTTGTTGGATGGTGACCACGGAATCGGTTACATTAATGTCCGAACACTTCGTCATATGTGGCTCAGTTGCGAACTCGGTGGCGCTGTTGCCTTTGCTCCTGCATCTATGCTTCTTAACCACCATCCGTCCATCTAACCTTTTTCTATCTTTATTGCAATTTTATTCTTTATTAGTTTTTACACCGATTATTATTATTATCACTATTATTGTTATTTAGCTGAATTAAGGCAACCGAGTCTGCCGCACTGTTGTACATACATCCTATTGCTCATTGACCCGATCTGCGGTGACACACACTGCTGACACCTCAGTGAAGCTGTAACGGAGTGTCGCTGTCATCAAATATCGCTTATTGCGTGGCTCGTTTCACCCCGCCAGTGGTTGCGTTAGCATTCAATCATGCTTCCATAAAATCTGTTTGTTGTCACCATAACTTTCTTCGGAAGATGTCTTCTTTTTACGAATGGCGCGTTGTGGCTGAAGTCATGAACGAGGGTCGATGCACTTTGCCCGTCAATTTCTTACTCTTTCGCCATTTTCACAGGTCATTATTTTTCCAAGTTTTTTATATAAGTATTTTGACTTTTCGGTCGTAAGGTAATCAGAGTTATCTTTGAGTTGGCGTAAGAAATTACCACTTGAGGCACTAACACATTAGGGATGTTTCTGAATCAAAGATCTGCTAGGCTCCGCTCGAGTTGTAGTTCGCTGAGAGCGCTAGTGTTATACCACCATATTGCTGCCGTTTTCACAGAAACTTCGAAAACGAGGCTCAGGATTGTCAAGGCATCTGCCCTCACGCGAACGTAAGCAAGCAATCTTAAGATCCAGGCTCTCCTACAGTTGTGTTATTTATTCAGCCCTTATCTCTCCTCTTGAAGTGAGTTCACTACTGTGCATGCATTAGAAACATTCGAACTCAAATCTGTTCCCATATCTTTATACAGTAATGTACTTCAACCAATGAACGATCTCTACGCCCTTCTCTTTTGAATGCTTTTGTAAAGCAACCTATATGCCTTTCCGTCACTTCCAAGAATGTATGGAGCACTTTTTATGCACATCGTATCCTCTGACACTCTTTGGACCATCGCCGCCAAAACTGTCCTCATGATGCCTTTAATTTTCATGCACCCAGCCCTATTAGAAGACCTCAACTATTTTTCCATCCTGTCATGGCAGCGGTTATTCAGACGTGCAATCATTTGCACCAGCCCTTCGACAAGCACGTGAAATGGTCACCCTGGATCTTCCCAGAGTTATGTCTTCCAATTGCTCCATCTATCTATCTCACCAACTTGGTTGCTTAATTAGTTAGTTGGTTAGTTAGTTAGCTAGCTAGTTAGTTGGGCAACCATGATCCGAGCATCGAAACGCAGTTGATCCAGTTGCCACTACTCATATCGCAAGAATAACAATGCATTGCAATGGCAACACAGTGGGGTCGAATGAGAATGGAATGTAAAGAAATTGGAAGCAAGAAGGAAATGCATTAAAATAATCTGAATAGAACGAAAATTTACAACCAGATGCAATCAACCGAATTCAGGAACGCCACTGACTGCAAGACTGCACCATTTCTGTTACGGTCTCCAACCATTTGTGTGGACCATCTCGAAGCCCCCCCCCATCCACGAAGACGGCCCACACCAGCCTGACCAAGTGTCTCAGACGCTTTCTTCATGCCTCGATGCCACATCATGGACTGACCACCTCGCGATTTCGCCCAACTTGGTGCAGCCACGGCGTATAATTCACGCTGAGGAAGCCGGTCGACGGGCATACAGAGGACGTGGTGTAACCAACGTAAGCGATTAAGATTCGGCAAACACCAGAAGACTTCCTACCAAAAACCAACAGGCAGACCTCAGCACTGCTCACCCGGTGTTCCCCCCAGACGTGAGCAATACTCCGCAAGCACCGATGGTCAAATACGACCAAGCGTTTAATGTCTTCGCCACGAACTGGTCACGTCTTTGATCCATACAGTAAAACCGACCTTACCTTTCACTGATAGGTTGATATCCTGTCGTCTCCATATTTGGTTGAGCCTCTGTAAACCCACACGGACCTAGCTGATACGCGAAGTAACGTCCTCAGTGATGTGACCAGAAGTGGTGACACAGGTACCATAGTAAGTGACTCAGTCCATCACTTCCAGTGGCTGTTCGAAGATAGCTAAAACCGGAGATGTGTCAGTCCACTTCTGCAACAACACTTTGTCGTTTGAAGCTGCAAAGTATATGCCAAGGCGTGCCGGGCTTCGCACAAGTCTGTGCAGTAGTGTTTGCATAGCCACTGCGTCAGAATCATGAAGAGCTGTCGTCCGCATACTTCAGCTTGTTCAGTTGGTCATCTGACAGAGTCTTGAAGAACAGAGTCACTCATGCTCATTTCGATCACAAACTTGCAGAGGAAGGGAGATATAGGACACCCCTGGCTAACCCCACTTGTCGTAGGGAACTCACGAGACAGTTTCCCGTAAACCATGACACAGCCTCGAGAACCACAGTGAAGAGACTGCATAATGGAAAGGAATTTATCCGGCACGTCCTTCATGGGTAGGCCGTGCTACAAGCTGGTTTCAAGTCTGTGATGCCAAATTCAGCGAACCGTTCAACTGCTATTCTGTGATGGGTTGTGCGCCTGAGAGAGCAGTCGAATCCTACATTGTGACTTGCACGTGACTTTCTGACTCTACATTGTTTCACTACGTTCGACATCCAATTCACCACGTCAAGGCGTGCTATATTACCCATTGGCTCCTCACCAGCCTGTGGCTGTATGTAACTGCTGCTGAGTACATGTGACCGTCTCTGACCACCTACGACTAACTGAAGTGACTAAGGTGCGGAACTACTGTATGTGTGGTCTCACTGCTTAACGGTTTTCTACTCCTGTTACATTTGAATTCTTGAATAACTGCTTCTGCTTACAATGCTTTGACTTCTTCCACTTAGGGAAATTCGTTACCTGCACGGTAGCAATTCGATACTCTGAGAATATTACAGTGTCTATTCTAAATATCTGGTCGATGCAACCACGACCAGGACGGAAGCCTGCCTGCTTTTTAGTGGTTCACTTCTCACGGGGATCATTACATTGTCGGAAAATTATACCCGTAAGAAGTTTAGTGCAACGGAACCCGGAATTGTTCGTCGATGATTTTCACACAAAGTACGTCGACCCTTGTTGACAGTCGTCAGTCTGAAGGGACCTCTTCAGTGTTCCAACTCGTCTTAAATAGCGAAGCAAGTGCAGTCAATTTAGAATAACCGCCATCTTTCAGCAAAATATGGGAATGGCAGTCGAGTCCAGGAGCCTTGTTTCGTTTCAACGCATGAACTTCATGTCGAATCTCTTCCAAAGTGGGACGTGTGACGTCTACTTCTAACGTCGGCTCAGGCGATTCGGCAAGTGACAGTATCGCAGCAGTCCTGTTGAACTGCTCGTCATAATGTTCCACCCAACGAGCTAGCCGGCGACGTTGCGAATGGATCAGTTGTCCATTTTTCTCAGCTATTATCTCGTTAACTGATGACTTCCTCGGACCCGGGTTCCGAATGAGTTGAAATAGCGCTGGGCTGTCCCCATTAGCACTGGCTTTCTCCATCACACGGGCCCTTCCCATCCACCAATGTTCCCGGTCGTTTCGAAGATTCTTTGCCAGACGTCTTTCCAGAGATCTACGTTCACGCTGAAAGTCAGTGCCCATCGGAAACTGTTTCTGTTCCTCGATCAAACTGATGGATGCCTCAGAGATCTGTTCACAGTTATGACGTCTTGAGTTTGGTGCACGGCACGTGTCGAAGCACTGTGGCACATTTGAGACAATCCCAGTCATCGTTCGATTCACCAAACTAATTCATCAGTGACAATTGGTGGGCCAGTTCGTCCTGGTATTGCTGAACGCCAGATTGCGATTTCGAGTTGCAGACATTAACGTACGAGGAATCTTTTTCTTATGTGATCCACTGATCTACATTGATTAACGCCTTTCTGCTTCTTCCAGAGCCGTTCATATCAAACAGGTCAATGCTCAGAGATTACACTGACTAAGCTTCGACATCCGCATTTTACGCTGCTTCTCTCTTATTGCTTGTTGATATCGACTTGCGAATTGTGAGCCTCGTCAGTTAGGCATGTAGCGTTCCTGTTGCGCCTTTATTTGCACATCATGGCAAGACCCGAATCAAACCAGATTATCGCCGGCCGATGGGACTCAGGTCAACTGTATTCGGTCAATTTGATCTGGATCGATTGCTTCACTTCTCTACAGTGGAGTAATGGTGTGGAGTCCACCACTTGAGTAGAATGGACCAGTTTTATGACTCTCTCGACGTCCACTTTATCGCTAGCTTACTCGTGTCATTTGTCCGGGCACAGCCTTACGCTCTACAGGTCACTGTTTCTAACCGAATGTTTTTACTGTTTTAAAAAAATCAATTAATTGTGATTGCACAAACCTGCAGATGCTAACTTAGGTGGAGGTAGTTAATTTGCTTGTGTGGACGATACTTTAGAAATGATGTAAAATAGCGAAATCCGGCACAAATAGACAAAATAGCTACGGAAATAATGCTCCCGTCTCCGACGAGCGTTATGATAAATTAGTAGTAGCAGCGAACAATAAGCGGGTAAATCGTTTTTTATTACGCATAACTTACCTTCAATTTTACAAAGTCGAAATTCACCTCAAACCCACGTCCGCACCCACTGAGTTCAAGCTGTTGTAATTTCACATCAACCGCAAAGTGCAACGACCTGTGATACTGATGGGATCAATTGTGCGTCCCGAAAATGCCACAACCGGCGCTAATGGAAAATATCTGCACTGTAAGTTGCATTTACCAGAGAAATAGTTTAATGCGTATTTCCCATTTACATATATATATATATATATATATATATATATATATATATATATATATATATATATATCTGCCAGTGGCCGAGTGGTCTGCATGTTTGCGTTGCAACCATAAGGTCACCGGTTCTAATCCGCGTAGGGGTGGGCGTCCTCGCGGTATACTCAGCCCGCGCACGACTGGTGGTGGTCGCGCGGCAGCGAGGCGCCGTTACGGCGTACAGCTGTATCACAGATATCATGGCGGAGTAAGAAAATAGGATGCGAGTAGGAAGAAAAAGAACACGCAACATTTTATCACAGGTCTTGATTTCATTTCTTGTTTGTTTTATGTCGGAAGAGAAGGAAAATCATCACAGCATCCAAAGATATTCGTCCGCCATTGAGTTCGGTCTTGAGCCATTACTTCCAGAGTCCCTAACCAGCGACACTCTGTGTCTCTGAAATCCTAACCAGGGAGTCGAGTTTAACCGACCGAGGCCAACTATTTCGTCAGCTTATAGATTGTCCGCCGCGCTGTCTCCTCTAGTTCTTTCCGACAGCTGCAAACAACGCCTGTCACGGAAGACGATGAGCGGGCACGCGCAGTACGTGTACAAGCCACTGCAGCGGGACGAGCTCCTCGAGCGAGTAGCTGCCATATGTTGTTAGGGGGGTTAAAGCAGATGGTAGCAGACAACTGAGTCGCTGTTCTTCCCTACATTCGTCACAGACAACCTACGGCACTTGTATTCTCCGCCAACAGATTTGTGTTTGCCCTATGGACTTTTGTTGTGATTGGTGTAAAGATGTCCATCAGCTTTCCCCTAACCCCGGATATCACCAAATGTTTTCCTACAGCGGGCCGGATAGCTGAGAAGGATGACTGGCGCTAACCGGATAACTGAAAAATGACAAGCGTGGGCCGCATAATCCGTAGGCGCAATACTTTTACGCCAGAACAAAAACTGCGAAATATAAAAAGAAATCGCAAAACCCAGCGTCCACGTTTCTTTTCTCGGTATCCTTAGTGAATGGGAACCTGAACAAGAAGAAGATAACGAATCGCAAACGCATTCACAATCCTATTGAAACACCAGAAAGATGAAGGACTGGGGATCATTAGTGGAGCTACGGATCAGCATAGGTGCACATAAAGTTCATAGTCTTCCTCGTTAAAAGGAGGGGTTTGCTATGTAAACATATGTAGGCCGCAACATGCTATGGTTGCTTGAACAAACTTGGCTGGAACTGGATAACGGCACCGGTTACACGCAATTAGCAATACCAAAGTTTACCCATCTCAACAAATTGTGCCTCTAGCACAATTCCATACCAACAACTCGCAGCTCATTCCAAGTAATGCACGCATCAACGGAGCTGATAAACCGAAAGCTGCGCCACGTAAATGTGTTAAACGGAAACTCAGTAGGGTACCCAAACGAATGTGTTTTATTTGTAATCGCCCACATCAATTTTTCTACGGTGAGCTTAGTTATTATAAGATAGTACAGTGTCACATGTAACAACCACGAGTTGGCTCCGCTAGTGTTCAACAAGTATAAAATCACTGACAATACGAAATGCTATGTCAAATGAAACTTATCTAACTGCATACGATTTGACAAGCAAGTTTGAGTACAGTCGGCGGGCCGTGGTTTGTGACTCCTGCCTATTTGTTTTATGTTGTAGCCTTGTCGTTGATCCGACTGACTCTAGGGGCGGTAAAGAACAAGAAAGCTTGAAGCATAGGAGCGCGCAAGCAATTTCACTGTTTTTTGCCCCAATTTCCACTAACTAGCTGGATAAATCTTCGATACATTATTGTGTTTGAGAAATTTAAAAACTGGCAGTGTGCTTAGTTAGTTGAGTGAACATTTATTGCTTCTCCCTCCATTCATACGTCAAAATTGTGCCAATCTGTACCACAATCTCTGTTTTTTCGATACCACCAAAATCACATATCGGTGTGTCCGCACGACGAACCAACAAGCTTCCTTCTCTGGGCACCATTCCCCGGTCATGTTCTTTGGACGTGCACATCACATCTTCTTTTTCGCTTCACTGCATAATTTTTCCCAACTACCCACTTGGCATAATCACTCTTGAAATGTGTTTGACTTTGACCCCTATCTCATTCACATCCTATCCCTTTTGTTTTAGTCACAAGTGCACGAGAATCGGAACACCGCAGCAATGATAAGTCAATGCGCACCGCTTGATGCGACACTGGTCCATCCTGCTTTTCTAGCTACAACCGATGGTCGTCCACCATAGATGTCACCGAACCTTCGCCTCTGTACCACCAGTTCTGATCAGCCTGTTATTCGCCTCTTTACAATGCGGTTTATTTGCCGACTCTTGTTATACCCCACCGTATTTTCTGCTCAGTCCGGTTTCCCTTGGAGAATTACAGTGCACTCCTGTCAATCTGTTAACACTCTGTTATCTCACACTTTTCCATTTTTACACCACTCATACGCAGAGTTATTAGCTATCGCTACTGTTGCAAACAGCAAAGGACCGGGTATTTTTTGCTGTTCGTAGACGCTACAGCGGTAGATCCATAGGTCAACTCTGCCTACGCTGTAGAATAGGTTACCAAACTGCTTTTCTCAATAACTTGACTGTTTCATATTTGAGACATGTACCACACGGACAATACGATCAGCAAAAATTGTTATTCATTTTTTCTTTTCATTTTCCTACTGATGGGAAATGCATCAACACTACGACTGCGAAAGTGCCAATGACGGCTGTATCATGAATCTGTCCAACCTGACACTCAGTGATGCTGAATACTGGATAGAAGCAGAATGAAAGCTGTCTCCTTGTAGCCGCATCTAAAATCTCAGGTGGCGACGTGAAAATAACAGGTCACACCTGTTATTTTTGAGTCGCCGTAGTGTTTATCCAAGAATTTCTCGAATTCCGACACTAACTTTGCTTCGAGTACTTGCGGCAGTAGGTTGTTCCATAGGTTCACTACTCTCTATTCGAAACAACGTTGGCTAGCGGCCCGCTTCAAATCCGTCACTAGCAGCTTCTACCGATGTGCTGCTTGGTGTACGCATATGTAACAGCAGCCTCAACATGGGGCAATCACCACGATGTGCGTCATAATGTGGTCAACCCGTCGTCGACGATAAGCTAGCGTGTACAACCCTAGTTTCTTACACTGGTCTTCGTACGGCACACTTCGTAAATTTGGAATCAGCCTGGTACGCAAATGATGCACTCGCTCAATCCTTTCTTTCTCGTCCTGGGTGATAGGACAATACGCGGCAGAGTCATACTCTATCATTGGTCGTATTATTGAGACAAGGAGGCGAGTGGCAATCTCTTCGGACCAAGTGCTTGAATTGCGCCTGAGAACCCAAAGCATACGAAGGCCGTTTTGATAAAGCCTATTCATGTTTTCCACAGACTTTACGTCGCAGCGTGAGAGTACACCGAGATCTTTCACGAAAGGCGCTGGGTGCAACGGTTGTCGGACCGCAGTGTGGTTTCGACCATGTCCAACCTTGCTCAGTCTCATGAATAGCCATTTGACCGAGTTTATCATAACGTTGACCTCTGCAGACTACATGGAAAGATGGTCAAGGTCTCGCTGAAGCAGGTATTATTTTCTAAGTGCACTGACTACTTTCCACCCTTTCTAATCATCTGCAATCAAAGCATAAGAAGACCGAAAAAGCTGAGGCACGTCCTTTGTACGGATAAGGAACAAATTGAGTCCCATTACAGTGCTTCGGACACGCGACTCGTGGAGGGATGCCAATCAGTCAGATGGTTGTCTATCTGGATCCTCCACTTTCGACCAACGACGACGTTCCTAATCCACTTTTGCAGCGAGCCGTCAAAACAACACATTCACCCTATTTAGGAGGACCTCAAGATTCACCTTGTCAAATGGCGTCGACTGACTTCCTCTGGTTCCACGCTTGCAACCATTTATGCCTCGTCACGAGCAGGTTGCTAATTCACCAGCGATCGTTCACGGAGCCATGCCCCGCGGGAAAGTTGTTGTAACGCACATGCGATCAATCGAAGCCAATTTCCCCTGTTTCCCTCGTTGATCTCCCTCATGTGCCCCCAGTTACTTGTTTTCCATGTCAAACTTTAAGCTTATGCACCACCACTTATTACTCCTTTCTCTGATTCATGCTGTGCTCTCCCGATCGCTTCATGGTATTTATTCCCTCCCACACACACTCAGCTAATGTCCGATTCCCGTGTCGATCTTCGATTCACCTGCTCTCTGACCGGTGACACACCTACCCATTTAACTGTTTATCTCTCCGCCTTAAAGTCCGACAAGCCCGCTCCAGCGGCTCGCCGAAATCCACCCTGCTCTGTAATCAATAAATATTAAATAACAAACAGCACGGCAGCCTCCGATTTCTTGCGCACCCGCATTTGACGCGAACGCTCACTCTTTCTTACTCTGCACGATTTTGCCTTGCGAAACTTGTTTCACTCGTCATTTTCAATATCGAAGGCTTCCTATGTTTAGTCTTCTAGGGGGGAACTCTGTAGCGCCCAAAAAGATAACTGCCATATTTTATGTATTATTCCATTCTTGATCAGTTGTACACTATTCTTTCTTGTTTTGTTCTTCCTTACAACCGGCTCGTCACTTGACCGTCTTGTAATTTCCGCGCTCACATGTTGCTCCTGTCCATGTTGCTACATCCGTCCGCGTCTTCTTGTGGCCCATCGAATACAGTCCGTTGTGTCAGACTCCAATTGTCTTCTGATATCCGCGTTTAATTTCGAGCACCGTCTCGGACAAGTATTTACTAGTCCTACAGCCTCAGGGCCGATGGGTAATGAAGGGAATAACACGGAGATGACCCTCTATGACTGAAGATACTGTTTGGCGCATTATCTGCTGCAATGAGCACAGTGGATAAGCTTTTGTATGCTGCAGCTCAGGTCTTCCCGTCTTCTTTTTCCCTCTCTTGCTCATATTCATCCTGATCGTCCCGTTTCAACTTTTCATCACTGTTTTCAACCCACTAATTATTGGCACTCTCCTGTCGCTTTCACAGTCGCTTGTCTTCTGGTTCCAACTCACAGGCAATCGAATGGCGTCGCTCTGGTCCAGTCAACAAGTTCATGTTCAACCAAAGGGACAATATCAGTACATCCGTTTCTATTTACAGTCCTCGATCTTCGCTAAGACCGACAAGGATCAACCTGCGCACCTTGTTACAGCTTCGCCAACAGACAACACTTGCCCGAACAATAGAGATCCTATCGACTGATATTTGCTGCTTATCGAAAACCCGCCTGCACGCTACCAGTTCCGTGGTTACCCTGCGATCCCCAGCATGTGACATTAGCGTGGCGTTCTCATTGTGTTCTTCTGGGGATGACGCAGCTTCAAATACTGGTCAAGCCGGTGTGGGCATTGCTCCGAGTCCTCGGGCTGAAACTTCCCTGGTTGACCGGATCCCAATCAACAGCCAGATCAGGGTCGTCAGATTGGCTGCTTCGTTCAAAACCTCGTTGTCATGCTTGAACAAATGGTCTCTTTTTCAATGCGGCCTACGCCTCCACAAACCGTAGCACTTATTCTGTGAAAGATCATTTCTATCACCAATTTAACGATCTGATTCGTTACAGAAGGAGCACGGATACTGTGGTGCTTGCCGGTGATCTGAAAGCCCGTCGGAAAGTTGTCCACTGATGAGCCTCATCTGGGTAGCCACTATGGTGTAGGCCCATCTTAATGATAACGGTGAACAGTTGCTTCACCTGTGTGAAGATGTTTGCCTCTTTCTCGCGAGGACTAATTTTCCTCACAGCACTCGCAGAAGAGTAACTTGGCGCCCACCAGCGTCGAACCAACCATGGACGCAAGAGGATCACATGAGATCTATTATGGCTGCAGAGACTGCGTCCAAAACTGTCGCTCGATTTGGTGAACGATCGTAGACTCCGATCACTCTCTTGTGTGTCGACCTTCGGGTGCGCCTCAGCGGATGTCCACAATGTCGCTGTGAGCGCATAGACACCAATCAACTGGCGAAGCCAGGTGTTCTGAATGCGCATCAAAGCAAGTTGACATCCGGGCTGAGTAAGAGTCCACTGAACACCGTTGAAGATCACTGATCGCATATTCGCCAGGCGTTACTATCAGCAGGTATGTCTACATGTGGCAACTCATATTGCCAACAACGTGACCGCTCCGTATCTTGATCCACGTATTTTCGAACTTTTGCATGTCGTTTTGTTACACGTCGCTGTAACTACACCTTTTATCTCGGTTTGATAAGATGCATTTACTGAAAGCATTTCCTCTGGACTAATTTACAGCGGAGATTGCTTCTACCGGATTTACAAATTTGGGCAGTTTTCGCCTTTATTCAATCCTGAAATTTCGCGGTTTCCATCACCCACCCAGGATTTCGACCTCTTTCAATAGAGGAGTCTCCCTGCTTTCGATCAAGCTTTCACTCATCTCACTCTATCAATGTGTGTTATGGCTGCAGAGAAGTTACGTTCCCACTGTGAAATCCTCTCATGGAAGCAACGGTCAACTTTCGCCGCTCCTGACTTCAGTTGGTGCGACCGACCAATCTGCCCTGCACGATGCTTGCCTGCACTAGATGCCTTACCCACGATTATATGACTCAAGGACGCAACACACAAAGTACCTTGCTCCGGTCATCTGACCTTGACCTGACGGTCGGCGACGAAACGCTAGGCGACGGCGACGCGCCACATACCGTGAAGCAGACAACGACCATTCGGCCACCAGGCCACAACACCTGTAACCCGAAGTGCCACAAAGACCGATCCACTTATGGGATCGTTGCTGCCCGATATAAGTAAATAAATGGTGTATTCTTCGGCGATGCGAAGCACAGTCCAACTATGTGGTCTAATCAATGTGTAGAGCAGGATCGCACAAAATATGCAATTGTTCACACTTTATAAAATGGATCCAAAAAGGATACTAAACTGATTGGCCGGTTTAAGGTATTAAAAAAATTAAAAGGCCAGGGAACAATAAGAGATACAGGTTTAAACAAATGTTTAAGTAGAGTTATGCAGCCAGCGTGGAACCGTCCCCAGAGGAATTGCTTCCATGCAGGGTATTCCCTCGAAAGGTTTCATCCGCACTTCAATGCTATACCTGGCCGAGTGCCAGTGTGGCAGAGTAGCATATAAGCCATCACCGGTTTAACATATGTTGTTCTTTTTGAGGCTGCTTTTATACATGTATTATGGGCGATGAAGCCTCAGTTTGGTCCGTCATGTGGTTC